TTTCAATTCATAAACTTTTTTTCTCTTGTAGTTAGTGTCTTTTGTATCCTACCTAAGACTTTTTTTTTTTTTGCCTACTTTAAAGTCATAAACATATTCTCTTATGCATGCTTCTGGAAGCTTTCTTATTTGGGCTTTGAAATTTAAGCCTATGATTTGTCTTCAATTAATTTCTGTGTATGGAGTAAGGTAGAGGTCGGTTCATTTTCTCTCTGTATGGATAACCAGTTGCCTCAGAGCCATTTATTTCAAAGACCCTCCCTCTCTGCCCACCATTGAGTTGTGTGAGTATCTTTATCAAAAGGCCGGTGAGCATATACATGTGGGTCTATTTCTGGACTCTATTCTGTTCCTTTTTTTTTTTTAAGTTTATTTCTTTCTTTTGAGAGAGAGGAAGAGTGTGGGAGTTTACATGTGCACATGAGTGGGGGAGGGGCAGAGAGAGAGAGAGAGAGAGAGAGAGAGAGAGAGAATCCCAAGAAGGCTCTTTGCTGTCAGTGCAGAGCCTGATGTGGGGTTCAAACCCACAAACTGTGAGATCATGACCTGAGCTGAAACCAAGAGTTGGACACTTAACCAACTGAGCCACCCAGGTGCCCCTATTCTGTTCTTCTGTGTCTATTTTTAGGTCAGTGCCACAGTACTTAATGACCTCAGCTTTGTAGCAAGTTTCAAGATCTGGTAGTTTAAGTCTTCTACTTTTGTTTTGTTTTGAGATTTCTCAGCCATTCTCAGTCTTCATGTTCATAGAATTAGCTCATCTATTTATACCAACAACTCGCTAGGATTTTTATTTTATTTTATTTTTAATGTTTATTTATTTTTGAGAGAGAGAGAGAGAGACAGAGCGTGAGCAGGGGAAGGGCAGAGAGAGAGAGGGAGAAACAGAATCTGAAGCAGGCTCTAGGCTCTGAGCTGTCAGCACAGAGCGAAATGCAGGACTCAAACTCAGGAACAATGAGATCATGACCTGAGCAAATTTTAGACGCTGAACAAACTGAGCCACCCAGGTGCCCCTATAAGTCGCTAGGATTTTGATTGAGGGAACACTGAATGTAATTTCTGCTTCTGCTCTCACTTCTGATCTCTTCTGGCCATTTTTTCTCTCTTCCCTTCTAGGATCTGCATCCCTCACGACAGCCCCTGGAACGGCTCCCATTGGGTCTGGCCTTCCACATAGCTAGCACGGCTGTCTCAGGAGGCTCCACTCCCATAATGGCTGGAGTGGCCACCACATGCCCCGAGCTCAGAATCCTGACCAGTAAGGTGCTCTTATTTGCATTGGGCCATTTACCAGTAAAGATGATGGTTGGGCCCATTCTCTCTTACTCTTCTGCAGCCAGCTCTGGCTCCTGGAGGGGAGTACATGCATTCATTAGTGCCTGATTTCAACTGTGTTTTGAGTATGTCTGATTATGTTTCCAGTTCTTAACGGGGTTTCGGTGCTCCCTTGAGCTTCTGGTCACACCAATAGCCAGATGTCTGTTACCTGATTGCTTCCTTGAAAAGTTTTCAACTTCCTTTCTCATGGCTTTGATCTTTCTGGTGTAAGAAACATCCCCTCCAAGGATCCTGTTCCCCTTCCTCCCTCTTTTTCCTTCTCCTCTCCCTTCCATTCCCAGCAGGGATGGCATGGGCAGCTTCCCCCACCCCCCCCCCCACCCCCAGTCCCCAGTAGCTAAAGTCAGGAAATTAAGGGAGGAAAGACAGGGGAGCAGGCTCAGGCCACTTTCCCAGTGGGAAAGACTGGGGTTCAGAAGAAGGAGAGAGGCCCACCTGGGCATCTCATAGTAGAGACATTGCAGAGTGAGATATATATGACAACAGAGCTGGAGATATGGAGGAAGGTTCAGAAAGATGGAAAGATGTGGATGTCAGTGATGTGGATGTCAGTACCTGTCAGTGACCAAGTAGGGATGGGGAGTTGGGGCCACCAAAAGAGAGAATGGGGAGTGCTGGAGGCTGACCAGCTCAGGGAGACACTAAATTCAGCTCTATCCAGGCAGTGAAGACTGTGTGGAGTCACATTAGCCTGGGTGTTGAATCCTAGCTCCACCAATATAGCTGTGTGATCTTGTGCAAATTACTTAACCTCTCTGTGTCCGGATTTCTCATTAATAATAACTAATACTTAAATAGCACTTATTATGTGCAAGGGGCTGTACATACATACCTGTGTACCTGTGATATAGATAATATTATTACCCCTCATTTTATAGATGAGTGCTGGATAAAATGAGAATGATAGGTCAAAAGGCTGTTGGAGAATGAAATGAGCTATACATGTAAAGCCCTTAGCTGCTTGGCATTAATGCTCAATATTCCCCTTATTCATCGTTACTATCATTTCACTTGAAGAGGGATGCTGAGAACCTGAGTTGTCAAGGAGAGGGAGCAACCCATGGGGAGAGTTGAGGGCTGGGAAGCACATTCCTGGGGCCCTCAGTTGACCCACCCTCTCCATGGTCTCTCAGGCCTGCCAGTTCTGGAAGGAGATGAGTGTGGAGTGTGGTAGTGGCTCTGTGACCCCTTATGACTGCCACCATAGGGACACCAGCCACTACCTTGTCAAATGAAGGGGTGGGGCCGGGATGGTAGAGTATCCCTCTCCCTTCAACCTTCCTTCTTCCTCTCCAAAACAGACTCATTCTCAGACTCAGCCTTCCCATTCAGTTAGTTGGGACCATTTCCTGCGGGTGGATTCCTGGGGCCACCAGCCCATCCAGGTCTCCTTCACCAACAGTATAAGGGGATCAGTCACCAAGTAGGAGGCTGAGGTTCTGGTCTGGGTCCTGCCACCAGCCTGCCATTTGGACCTAACTTCTCTGAAGCAGTTTTCTCAGCTGCAGAAGGAAGGACCAGGGCTAGCTGGTCTCCAGGAGTCTTCTAGCCTTCATGAAGTCTAGGTCTGGGCAGTTGGAACCTTTGTCCTTCACCCTTTCTTCCCATTCCCACCCTCTTCCTTAGAGAGCCTCATTAGCTAGGGATACTTTGGACATCCCATGTGCAGGATGGGGAAGCTCTCCCTTCACAGCTCCTTCCATATGGAGCCCCTTTGGGCTGGCTCCTGGCCCTCCCAACACCTCCAGTCCTCTCACTTTGAGACAGGCGAGGAGTCTTGCTCTGTGATGCCTCCTTAGACCACTCTGAGTGGATGAAGGACACAATTCTTGCTAAATAAAACACCACCCCCTCCTAGTCATTGTGTATTTGTCAAAGCACATGTGCTTTGCCATTATGCAGGTACCGACCAAGTCTGGTCTCCTGCTTACCAGGTGTGTGACCTTGGGCAAGTCACTTCCCTAATCTGAGACTGTTTATTCTCATTGGTAAAATGAAGCTAACGTTGCTAATCTCATAGGTTATAAGAAGGTAAGGTGTTTAGCATATTCTTTGGCACATAGAAATGCTCAAACGTTAGAAATTAGTAGGATTATTTTGTGACTAACCCCTCAGCCTCTAACTCAGACACAACAACCTCTACTCACACTAAGAGATCAACCTGAGCCTCTACTTACCCCCTAGTTTCTCTAACCCAGATGCATGGGTCATCTGGAGGAAGTTGTGGCTAAAAGAGAAGGGCGGATATTTATTTATGCAACTAAAGCAGAGATTGTGAATCTCAGCACCACTGAAATGTTGGGCTGGAGAGTTCTTTGTTGCGGGTTGGGGGCTGTCCTGAGCATTGTGTATTATGTTGAATAGTACCTCTGGCCTCTATCCACTAGAGGCTAGTGACATCCCCTCCAAGTTGTGACAAGAATATCTCTAGGGACACCTGGGTGGCTCAGTTGGCTGAGCATCCGACTCTTGATTTTGGCTCAGGTCATGATCCCAGGGTTGTGGGATCAAGCCCCATGTCAGGCTCCACGCTTAGCATGGAGCCTTCTTGAGATATTCTCTCTCTCTCTCTCTCTCTCTCTCTCCCTCTCTCTCTCTCTCTTTCACTCGGTCCCTCTCACTTACTCCCACTCTCTCTCTCAAATAAAATTAAAAAACAACAAAAAAAAAGAATATCTTTGGACTTTCCCAAATGTTTGCTGGGGGAGCAAAGCTGTCCCTCTCTGTTGAGAACCACTCTCCTAGAGGCCTAGGTTCCTGGGGAAAAGGGTGGGGCTGGGGACTAATGGAAAAGGGAGTTGTTAGTCACTCTGGGTCCGGATGGAGCTACAGGGGAAGGCCTTCTGCTGCCTTAGTTCCTCCATCTTTCAGGGTGCTCCCTTTCAGGGAGGCAGGCCACCCAGTTCTGAGTAACCAGTCTTTGGCTTGACTCCATGGAGCCTCATTAATTTCCCATTAATTACATTAATGAGAAGTTGGCCTGTTCCCTTCTCACTCATTCCAGCCCTGCCTAGGGCTTAGGGACAAGTCACACCAAGTAATGAGAACAATTCATATGTTCTCCCAAAATGTCTCTTTGGTCCTCCCATGAGCCCCACTGCCCTGAGCCCCTGGCTTCTTGACCTTTAGATCTTGACCCCCTCCACTCCTTCTGCCTGCTCCACTTCCCCCAGAAAGGCAGCAGACAGTCCAGACACCCACTCTGTATAGCCGAGTAGTAAGTGCTTACTGATTGTCTACTGTGTGCCAGACACTACCTCAGGTGACGGGGAAAGCAGCAGTGATCAAGACAAAGACCTTGCCTGCAGGGTGCTTACTTTCCATGAGAGGAGACACACTGTGAACAAATCAAGTGAGCCATAAAGAGGTGGTGACTTGGACACCTGGATGCATGACTTTCTCCTTGGCTCCAGTAGTCTGTCCCCCACAACTCCAGCCCCAGGTACTGCCACTTGGAAGTCCAGTGAATGAATTTTGACAGTCTTCTGAACTAACGCTTGCTCTAGGCAAGGAATCAGGAGGAGGGAAAGAGGAAGACTCCAGGAGATTCTAGAAGTGAGATGTCTGCATTTCTATATAGGGGTGATAGGGGCTTGGAGGCAAGTGATGGCTGCTGGGCTGATGTGGGAGAGGAGGGAAGGGGTGGGCTGAAGGCAGAGCCCCTGTACACCAAGCATCTCTACCAAAGAACTCAGCCTCCGTTCCCATCTGCGTCCCTGGTGAGGTGTGTGATGTTGGGTCCTGGGCTTCTGTATCAGTCTTGTAGCTTGTCTCTGTCACTGTCCCCACTGTATCCACATCTTGTGTCATCTCTGGACATCTGGAAGCACCTGTCTCTGCAGTAGTGGACCATGTGAGGTCTTTCCGCTTCTTTGCTCTTTCACCTGATACTCATGGATGACTCCACCCATGGCAAAAAGAGTGACCATGTGTGAATAAGGGGTGTGGAAAACAGGGCTGATGCGAGAGAAGTGGAAGGGCAAATGTGAAGCTGGAGAACCAGACTGTGAATCTCCTCCCAGAACCTGAGCACCCAATCACCCCCCCCCCCCCCGCATCTGCCTCACCCATCAGAGCCCAGTCCTTTTAGAACCCAGCAATATGCTCCCTATCTCCTCAGAGCCCTGGAGGCTGCCCCCACCCAGTCCCCTCTCCCTCTGCTGGGGCTGGGTCAGGAGTCTGCCCATTCTGTATTCCTTTTCCCAGATCCCACCCATTCAGCAGGCGCCCAGGTGCTTGGCTCTGTGACACAGCAGTTGCGGTCTCTTGTTATCAGGGCACCCTTGTGGGGTGGGGCGGTTCCATTTACTTAAGGTTGAGACCTGGGGGGCCCCAGCCCTCATGACGTCAAACATGGATCCATTTAAGCTGAGAGGACCCCAGCCCATGGTCCCTAGCAGCTGTCCAACTCCAACATGGCCCAGCCAGCCCACTGCATCCGCTCCACCTTTGGCCTCCACTGCTGCCTCATCTTCCTTTTAGCTTCTCAGGAGGCAGGTAAGATGCCTTCAGAGGCAAAGGGGTTACCATAACACAAGGAGACAGAAGACAAAGAGGAATTGTTTCTTAGCATTTGTAGGGTTGAATGACCAATCATAGAAATGAATAGCAGGTGAATGTGTGGTGGGAAGGGATGTGGGTATAGGGTTGTTGCATACAGTTGCCTAGGGTGTTCACTGCTTAAGGTTACTGTCTAAGGAGCAGGTAGGAGATGAAATCCAGCCTGTGCTCTGCTTCTCAAGACATAGCCTGCAAAGCTGCACCCACGCACAGAGGGGCTGTTTCCAGTTTACATAAAGACACTGTACAGGCCAGCAGTCTTGGGTAGACAGCAGTGGGGCCTGACATTCGCTGAGCATCTGTTATGTTCAAGGAACTCACATGTGCTCACAGTACTTCATCTCATTTCATCTCCTCAAATCTCCTGAGATGGTTCATATTGCACTTTATAGAGAGGAGAGCATGATGCAGAGGAAGTGAAGGGACTTGTCCAAAGTCATGAAGTTAGAGGGTGGCAAGTGGGGATTCTGCCATTCCACATTGCCTGCTGCCCTCATGGGCCTGAGGTGCATTTCTCTCCCAAGAGCCCTGTTCTATGCCAATCTTGGTTCTATTCTGGACTCTGGCCCATTTAGTTAGTCAGGGCTTTCCTACATTTATAAGCTTAGAAGAATGCCATCTGGCCAATACCAGTAGATGATGTGTACCAGGCATTTACTATGTGCTAGGCATTGTTCTAGGCACTTTGTTCACATTTACTTATTTGATCCTCATAGCAACTCGATAAGGTGTGCATGATTTTGTCCCTATTCTACAGTTGGGAAACATTCCAGAGCTTCAGTGAGAAAAAGTATGTGGAAAAGTTTAATGAGCACAACAGAACCTACAAGTTAAAGTGAAATCACCAAATTAGTTCACTTAGTTAAGAAATAGTTCTGTGACTGACCCCAGGGAGCGGAGAGGTGAAACACAGGAGAAGTCTGGAGGGGACCTGGGTGATTCAAAGGAGGGTCTTCACAAGGTAGACACACACAAATAAATTCAGAGAGACGCAATGTGCTGGATAGGGTCATCCATGGCAACGATGTTGATGATTGCAAACCAGGACCCAGAAAGTTGTGAATCTGGATGCTGCAGACAGTATTTAGGGTAGGGCAGGCAGCAGCTTCTTCTAATAGTATTTGACAGAGGGTGATATTGGAGGAAATTTCTCCTTCCTTGAGCTCAGGTCATGTTGGGGCCAGTGGGGATGGGAGCGAAGGGAACAAGTGGATGGTGGCTGGCAGGGGCAGGAGCTGAGGAATCTTCGAGCTGCCTCTGCTAGGCCTCAGCAGTGCATTCTGTTTGTGCTCTGACTTGTACCTCTCTCCCTATCTCAATGGTCTGGGGACAGAGGCACCAGAGCCGTCCTCAGCCTCCCAATCCTGGGTCTCTTCTCTTCTCCTTCCTGTCATGCTGCTATCCCACCTGCTGCTCTCTGCCACCTTCTGTTATGCTGCTGCCCAGGAAGAAGGATCTGTAGGTACAAAGCAGAAGGGAATGAAGCATGAGACAACTCCATACACATTAACTTTTGAGGAAGATTTGCTCTAGGGCACAGGCAGATGCAGGGCAGACTTGAGATCTGAATTCCAGAATAGGACACTCTGGGCTCTGGGTTTTGTCTGGGGAGATGACTGCTAGAGTTTGCCTGGGTGGAACGGAGGAGAGGGCTGGGGGGAGGGCCAGGGCAGTGGACACTCAGATCCTGTAGAGAAGAGCAAGTAGGTGATAGGTAGGGAGGGTGTGAGACTGGGATAAGGTTGGGGTGGGGTGAGGGTGGAACTGGAATGTGGGGCTGATGGGGCACATGACTATGTCCAGCAGGCAGTGAGGCCAAGGTAGAGAGGGAAAGTGTGATGACTGAGGTGGATGAATACCTTTAGTACACAGTTCTGACCCCTCTCCATCATTTATGCACAGGATTAGTCAATACCCAGATTCAGATAACTGGGTCTTAGAACCCCAGAGTCTGTGGCATGCAGTTGTAGAACCAGAGGTGCAGAAAGTAGATTAAATAATCTCTGAGGGGAGCACAAATGGGGTCTTGGAGCAAGTCTAAAAAGGATGTCTTGTTTTTCCTCTAATAAATGTTATTTGATGTAACTTATCTGACAGAAATATGCTCATTATAGAAAGTGGAAAACTGGAAAAAAAATGAGAAAGAAAAATAAAATATAATAATCCCCAGTTACCCATGCAGGCAACCATTTGAGTATATTTCTCTTTAGTCTGTTTTACTCTGAGTTTTAGGCCATGTACTGAGCTTGTGTTCTATAGACATTTAAAGCATTTACCTGTATTATTGCAAATGGAGTAAGCCATTTTCTAGGGGCAGGACACCAAGAAACACCAGATACACTCTTCTGGGTAAAGCTGCTCTGATGGAGACCCTGCATCATGAATCACTTAGCATGATAAGTGAGAATGAAACATGTTGAACAGACCTTTGGAATTACACGTAGTTTTGATGTGGGATTTTTTTCATTCTTTAATCCAGGCTGAGCATCCATCTTCAGTGTCTTGTGCTAAAGCCAGAGTTTCCTCTCTGCCTATGTATCAGTGACCAAAAAAGTTATTTTGGGGCCATTATTGTAGTTGGCGAAATGAATATCTCACGGTAAAAACTTCCTAGGGAACTAAAATTGCTACTGGGGAGAAGAGATGGTCATCTCATCTTAGGGCAGGGGGGTGGGGTGGGGTGGGTGGGCAATGCAGTTAGTCACTGATTTGCTCCATGGCTGAGCTCAGAACCAAGGAATCCTTTGAGCTTCAACTCAAGACTTAATAACCAATGGTTCCACAATTGTGTGATGTAGATCTGGAATTCTAAGATCTAGTTATCTGAATCTCTTTATTGACTATATAGGCCCTGGGGTTAAATGACAACCAGTATCCCAGAACTGGTAGGTCTTCTAACATCTCAGGGGCTCAATTACTTCATGTGGCAGAAATTACCCTTTGGTTTTCCAACTTATGGAGGTCACAGTTATATATGCTTTTTTACTTAGTGTGCATAACGAGAGGTTGTTGGCACTGCTTCTGAAGAGTTTTCATCAGTCTTAAGATACTGTTAATCACCCATTCAACAAATATGTATGAAGTGCTTCCTGTGGGCCAGACATTGTTCTAAGCTGGAGACATAGCAATGAATGAAACAATTAAAAATCCCTGCCATTGTGGGAAGTATTTATTATAAATAGAAAATGATGAGTGTCATGTTGATAAAACACAGCCAGGGGAAATGGCCCAGGAATATGGGGCTGCCCTTTGGACGAGGTGGTCAAGGCAGGCCTCAGAGGTATGTGAAGCATATGGGACAGGAGAGATACCTGGGGCTGTAGAAGGCCACAGGCTCAGGCTCCCCTTACTACCAGGAGAACAAGGCAAAGTATGAGACTGTTTGAAAGACTATAATTCAGATTCAACAAATGCTTTAAATAATCTATGCTTAAGCTGGTGCAGTTGACATCATTGTTATTTACAGTTGAGGACATGGATATTCTGAATATTTAAGTGACCCAAGCAAGCATGCAAAGCTGGTGAGGGACAGAGCCTGAACTCTAATCTTGTCCTCTGATTCTTTAAAGCCAGTGGAATTTGCCACTGTACTGCTACTGCTCATTTATTCACTTTCTGGATATTTACTCATCCCCTATCACATTTAACAGCATCTGGGGTTTAGTGAGAAGCCTGACTTTGCCAATTATTTCATCACTTTGAACTTCCTTTTCTCACCTATAAAATAGTAAGATCATATGCTTGTCTCACAGGTTTGTGGTGAAGATTAAATAAACAAATGTATAGACAGCATCCTTTAGGCGTTCCACAAGTGCCAGTGTTCTTCCTTTCCCAACAGCTGGGCTGAACTATAGTTTGTGTAGTGTAGTCTTAACCAGTAGGAGCCTGGGTCTGGGGACCCAGAATATGTGTTCAAACTCTAGCTCAACTTTTGACTTGGAGAGTATCCTTGGGGAGATTACTCATTCTCTCTGAACCTTGTTTCCTCATCTATAAAAAGGGGGAGAATAACAAATAGTTCTCAATTTCAAAGGGCTGTTGTGAAAAGTAAATGAGTTAATACATTCATAAGACCTGCCTGTCTCATAGTAAGTGTGCAAGAAAGGTTGGCCATTGCTGTTGCTGTGGGATTGTGTGCAAGTCACCATTCCTCTTGGGTGAAACTTGAAACTTAAGTTTTTTGGCTGTAAAATAGGGAGGTTAATAGCTTGTAACGCTTCTAAAGAGACACATTTTTCTTTCAAGAGGGCAACCTTCATCTATCCAGATAGCTTTAGGTGTGTGAAGAGGGGAGGCCAGTGGGGAACCATAGGGTTGAGTCATCTCATCTACTTCTCTGCATCCAGGCAAAACTTTAACACTAAAATGAAAGTCTCCCATCTCCTTCCTCTATCCATCTTCCATTCCTCTTCTTATCCTCCTCCCATTCATCATCTGTCTACTTTTGGGGAGCCGGCAGATCAGTGACCCTAGAAGAGAATCCAGAAAGAGAATGTCTGTAAGGCAACCACCTGAGCTTTTGGCTCAGAAAAGGTGCCCAATGAATAGTAGCTATCATTGGTATTGCTGCTGAGAGAACCAAGGAATGGAACTAACATAGCGAAGTGAGGGCCTGAAAATTCAGCCATCCTTTCTCTCCCTAACCTCGATTCCCATAAGAGACTTGGGACCCTCATCCCCTTCTTGTCCCACCCATATTTTTTCAAAGAGTTCCCCGGGCCTCTACTCTTCTTGGCAGCAAGGAGGTGGGTGGATTTTGTTTCTTTGTGATTGGGAATGGGTCCAGGTTCTGGTTGCCGCCTTGAGCTAACAGACTGGAAATCTCAGTTACGTAACAACACTATCTCCCTCACTCTTTGGCGATCTCCTGACTAGGTATCAGAGACATCTCCTCTGTCCCCGTTGGTTGTTTTTTTCCCACGTAATTAAGGCCCATATCTGTTTATTGATAGAGGTGTTTTCTCTCACACCCTGTCCTTAAACACAGTCAGTCCCTTCTACAATTCAGCTGCCTCATTCACTCATCTCAGGACTCCCAAGCAGACATCTTTTTCTTTCAAGCGGGCAAACTTCATCTATCCCAGATAGCTTTAGGCGTGTGAAGAGAGGGGTGTCCAGTGGGGGACCATAGGGTTGAGTCATCTCATCTACTTCTCTACATCCAAACCAAACTTTAACACCAAAATGAAGTCTTCCATATCCTTCCTCTATCCATCTTCCATTCCTCTTTTTATCCTCCTCCTATTCATCACCTGTGTCTACTTATTAATCCTATGGCAAGTTCTGCCAGAAGTCTTACTTCAGTCTGTTACACAATTACATTTGAGATGGAGCTGGAATTTTATGGAAAGATGGAGATTCTGATATTTGTTCCCTTTCTTCTCAGCCCTGTCATGGAAAGGGAACTCCATTTCATAAGTATATAAACTCTAAAGGAGCATTTGTGGAACAAAATACCCTCAATATCTGATCTCAAAATCTTGTGATTTGATAGGTAGGGCAGGAAGTAGAGGTTGATAGGCACACAAATAACTGTAAGGTTGGGTTGAAGGTAGCAGGAAAGGGTATTAATAAAGAATTTTTTGAGAATTGAGATGAAACTAGATCTTATATGCTTGGAAGGATCTGGAAAGATGCCATAAAGCCAGAAAGGTCTGAATTTCATAACTGAGGAGTGGAAGTGGAGAAGAGGTGAAGTGGCATTCTTGCTGAAGGCACAACCTGAACAAAGGTCCAGAGACTAGAGGAGAGAATGGGGATTTTAAGTCATAGTATTTTGAGGATACTGGCTGGGGAGATATATCTAGGGTAATAAAGGGACCCTTAGAGGGAGAGGTGGGCAGAGAAACAAGGAAGAAAATAATGGAAGTTTCTTATTTGCCTCTTTTCCTTCACAGGTGCTATCACATTTCAAGAACTTCAGAAAACTGGTGATTCCCCAGCATCTGATAATTTGTTCCCTCCTATTTCAGGCTTTGTTTATAGTGCACCCCCTGATCATACTGCTCTTCAGTCAAGCCATAGCCCTCTAGACCTCACTAAATCTACAGAAACCCATAATCTAAAACGCAATTGCAACACTACACACCATCTCAAGCCGATTTACAAACACATAGGTAATTCCCAAAACTCTACAAGTCATCATGAAGTTCTTCCTACTTCTGAAAAAACCCCGAGCAATCAAGGAAGAGACCCAAATGTTCGGAATGGACGGTCTATTGATCCTACTGACTCTACTAACACACATAAAGGATCGTCTGGTGTAAAATATCCAACGTCAGCACCCAAGATCAAAACAACTTGCCTTAGGTTCAAATCAGTTATAGGAACAGATAAAAGTGTAACATCTTCGAGAAACATTACTTCAGAGAGTAAAAGCGCTACTTCACAGAAGACCATAAATCCTGTCTACAACTCAGGAAATTCGGAGAGCAAAAAAATACCTATGTATTCCTCAGGCAAAAGCACAACAGCCCCATCAGATGAGGTTACAAGAACCCCACGAAGGTCAGAAAGAGCTGGAGATCATACAATAGCTGCTAATCTCAGAACTACAGTTGCCTCAGGCACAACAATGATGAAGACTACAGGACATATAAACAGGACATCACCCATTGAAAAGACCACACAAATACCAGCAACACTTAGAGAACATGGACACAGCACCATATCAGCTCATATAAATATCACAAAATCACTAGAAAACTCACTAGAACATGGAAAAGTAGCCACATTGCCTTATGAGAAGACTCCGGGAGTCCCAACAGAATCTACAAAATATGGAGAAGAGACTACATCAACCAATAAGAAAACCACACTAACCCCCCAAAAGTCCAAGAAACATGGACAGAACACCACTCCGGACAGCAGAAGGATCACAAGGGCCCCAGAAGGGCCCACTGACTATGGTGAGAAGACAACCCCCGCCAATGGGAAGACCATGAGAGCCCCAGCAGGGCCCAAGGACCATGGGAAGACCACCCCAGCCAACAGGGAGGTCACAAGACCCGTGGAAGGGCCTAAGAATCATGAGAAGAAGACCACTACAGTCAACGGGAAGACCACAAATGCCCCAGAAAGCCCCAAGGGTCATGGGGAGAAGACTACATCAGCCAACGTGATGATCACAAGAACCCTAGAAGGGCCCAAGGACTATGGGGAGAAGACCACCCCAGCCAATGGGAAGACCATGAGATCCCCATCAGGGTTCAAGGACCATGAGAAGATCACCCCAGCCAACAAGGAAATCACAAGATCCCCGGAAGGGCCTAAGGATCATGAGAAGAAGACCACTACAGTCAACAGGAAGATCACAAGTGCCCCAGAAGGCCCCAAGGGACATGATGAGAAGACTACATCAGCCAATGGGGTGACCACAAGTGTCCCAGAAGGGCCCAAGGAACATGAGGAAAAGACCACAAGAACTCCAGAAGGGCCCAAGGACCACAGGGAGAAGACCACCACAGTCAGGAAGATCACAAGTGCCCCAGAAAGGTCCAAGAACCATGAGGAAAGGACTACACCTGCCAATGGGATGATCACGAGAGCCCCAGAAGGCCACAAGGAATATGGGAAGAAAACCACAAGAACCCTAGAAGGGCCCAAGGCCTCTGGTGAGAAGACAACGCCAGCTAATGGGAAGACCACGGGAGCCCCAGAAGGGCCTGAGAACCATGGGGGGAAGACCACTAGAGCCCTAGAAAGGACCAAGGACCACAGGGAGAAAAACACCCTGGCCAATGGGAAGACGACAAGAGCCCCAGAAGGGCCCACGGACCATAGGGGGAAGACCACTAGAGCCCTAGAAGGGATCAAAGACTATGGTGAGAAGACAACCCTAGCCAATGGGAAGACGATGAGTGCCCCAGAAGGGCCCAAGGACCATGGGAAGACCACCCCAGCCAACAGGGAGACCACAAGAGCCCTGGAAGGTCCCAAGCATCATGGGGAGAAGACCACCACAGTCAACAGGAAGACCACTAGAGTCCTAGGGGGGCCCAACGACCATAAGGAGAAGACCACCCTGGCCAATGGTAAGACCACAAGAGTCCCAGAAGGGTCCAAGGATGATGGGGGTAAGACCACCAGAGCCCTACAAGGGTCCAAGGACCATGGGGAGAAGAACACAACAGTCAATGGGATGACCACGAGAGCCCCAGAAGGCCCCAAGGACCATGAGGGGAAGACCACTAGAGCCCTAGAAGAGCCCAAGAACCATGGGGAGAAGAACACAACGGTCAATGGGAAGACCACAAGAGCCCCAGGAATTCCCACAGACCATGGGGAGAAGATCATCTCGGCCAACAGCAATACCACAAGAGCCCCAGAGAGGCCCAAAGAACATGGAGAAAATGCCACTCCAGCCAATAAGAAGACAACAAGAACTCAAGCCAAATCTATAAAACATGGAGTAAAGGCCACATTGGCCACTGAGACCACAAAACCCCCAAGAAAACCTAAAGAAAGTGTAGGAAAAAACACAGCTCCCACAGAGACTATAAGACCTCCATTCAATGTCACAGGAGACAAATCTGTCACTAATACCTCTCCTGGTTCAAATAAAACTGATGTTACCTATGGGGTACCCATTGGTTCTTTTACACTCACCACATCTCACATAGAGCTGAGTTCCATCATGTCAGAAGCCCCAGGCAACCAAAACCATCCATATCAGAACAAAGATGGCTCACAGGGAGGTCTTCGTGCTGGAGGAATGAGGGAGAATGATTCATTCCCTGCATGGGCCATAGTTATTGTGGTCCTGGTGGCTGTGATTCTCTTCCTGGTGTTCCTTGGCCTTATCTTCTTGGTAAGGGGCAGGGATGCTACAGGGGAGTGAACCCATGAGACAGGGAGTTGATGAGAGATTATGGATCTGAACAAGAGGCAGTAATTAGCCCAGGAAAAGAGGCATGGTGGGAGGATGGTAATAAAGGGGTAGTGGTGGTGAAAACTTTGGGGAAGGACAATAGGTGCATGAGGCATGAACAGTGGCATTGAAGAAAAGTCTGTGGCTGAGAGAAAAGGAAATTGAATAGGGAAAAACTGGGGGCTGGAGATAGAATCTGGGATATGAGAACAGGGAATATCAGGAGAGGGAAAATTGGACAGAGGAGGGAATTGGAGATGAAGTCTGGGACTTAGTGCATGGGATCTGGGGCTGGAATAAGGATCAAGGTTTGGATGGAATCTTGGGAAAGAAGGAAGCTAAATGGCTAGGATCAGGGAGAGTAGAATTGAAGGGTTATGGGTATTGAGGAAAGCAAGTGGCATGGCAGATGAAACTCATTCCTCCTTTCTCCTAATCACAGATTGCCTGTACGATGAAAACACGCCGTGCACTGGTCCAAAACACAGAGGACAATGACCCAGAGGATGATGGGGGCCCTAATTCCTACCCAGTCTACCTGATGGAGCAGCAGACTCTTGGCAAGGGCCAGATCCCTTCCCCACGGTGATCCTTCAGAAAGGTCCCAGCTCTTCCATGTCCTTCCTAAGATGAGGAATTAGACTCACCATTCCTATTTCCTGGACACCAGGAAGGGCAGAGTACTGGCAGTTAACAGCATTAACTCTTCATCAGCTGTGTTCTTATTGAAACTGGTCAAGGGATGAGGTGATAAGCAAGAAGGAGAAGCAAGAAGGGAGATAAAGAAGAAAGAATGAATAATGCAAGTGTTCTCTGCAGAAGATGGTGGTCTTGGAATGAAAACATGTTTGATGGACACATGGGGTAGACACCAACATAGGACACTGAGTCTTGGGAGGAGCAGCATGACTAAAGGAAGTTTGGGGGCCTTAGAAGGCAATGCCCCATATCTGACTGTGAGTTGGAGATTGAGGACAGAGTTCCTGGGTGTCAGGACCAATCTATAATATTTCCATGTACTATTACTTAGATGTTGTGTATAAGCAGGCTCGTCTTTGACTTCCCAGGACACTTGCCTACCTCCTTTTTAAAATGAAAAAAGTAGAATCTGAGAAGAAAAGAGAACTTATTTCCTTCACCTTCTCTATACCAAGGAGAAAGGAAAATTCCAGAAAAGATAATAAATGTCTCTCATCCAGATGGTTCTTCCCTCTTCCTTCTGAATCCTTTAGTTTTTTCTAAATGTCTACAGTAGACATCCTGCTGGTCTGGCTTTCTGGGTTGTGGGTGGCACAGAGGGAGGGATTTTTGTGTGGTCTGCAGTCTTATCCATTTATCCCCATTCCAGACTGTCCCTGATGGTGTTCCCCACTCATTATTTATTTTCCTGTCAGTTCTACCAAAAGCCAGTCCAGGCTTTTTTCTGGAAGAGTCACTTGCCTTCTCCACTGCCCCCATTCTCTCTCTACTCACACTTTCACCCCAGATTTTGATATTCCCCCTTGTAGGCATATCATCTGGATTTTCTCTCCAACTATTAAAGCCCTTTCACCTATTACTGATTTGGCATAGTGGAAAGAATGAACAGATAATAGATAGCTTCCTATCTATTGGTCTTTTTATAATAAAGTAGAAAATATTTGTAAAGTAAGTACACCATAATTATTGAACTGTCAGTTGGGAGAAGCCTTGACTAGTGTTCCTGACTCTGGCTGTGACCTTACATATGACCTTGAGCAGCAGTGGCTAGAGAACAGGAATTCTTTACTGTCATGGAAAATTAGGCTGAATTTCTACTGCTCCTAAAATGAGTCACTCCTGGATTTAGATAGGAGCCAGCCTGAGTTCCTGCTGGGCCCATCTGCATGGTGCAAAAGCAGGAGAAAATGTGTTCATTAATAAGCCAGTATTTCCATGTACCTATTATAAAATCTGTTGAGCATTATAAATATAAGATATAGTTACCACCTGAGACACAAATATAGGGAAATTAAATACATAATTCACTAAGAGTTCTCACAAGGCAGTACTACACAGAATAAAGCATGACTCTAATGAATTAAACCCAATATTCATGGGCAACTACTACATCCCAAATTTATGTTAGGATACTAGCCCTGCTCCAAAGCCATTCCATGCCCAAACATCACTCCCAGCAGACCAACTGCCCATCACCCACATGGCCTTGGCTCACTCTTACCAAAGGAGGATCAGCAATTTCCCTGACCAGAAAGGCACAGGCCTTCCAAGTTTAACTTCATTGAGAATCAAATAGCAACCCTCTCTGCTACTTTTGGCATTCCCATTTTCAGGAATCTGGAAGTCTACCACAGACAGTGGTCTTAATCTTGACACTCATGCCACTGAGTTATCTGCCAGGGCACACTGCAGGCTCAGGAACTCTCTGAATCTCCCACCAGAGCTCTACTCTGCTAAAGGCAGGATTGTAGCTTGGATCCCAGAAAGATGCCACAGGAACCCCAGACTTGGGTCCCTGGAGAGAGCCCTCTCTCCAGAACACCTGGTTTCTGGAAAGGGCTGGAGTGCCTGGGGAAAAAAGAAAAGGATACCAGGCTTGTAGTCATCCGGGCAGATGGTGACAGCATGCGGCAGCTGCCAGGACAGGAGTGTCACTCTTTCTGGGAGGAAAGTAGATACCCCCTATACCTAGCCTATAACCATTGAATTTCTCCAGCATGGACCCCAATTTAAAAACTAAAACAAGGGGCGCCTGGGTGGCGCAGTCGGTTAAGCCTCCGACTTCAGCCAGGTCACGATCTCGCGGTCCGTGAGTTCGAGTCCCGCATCAGGCTCTGGGCTGATGGCTCGGAGCCTGGAGCCTGTTTCCGATGCTGTGTCTCCCTCTCTCTCTGCCCCTCCCCCGTTCATGCTCTGTTTCTCTCTGTCCCAAAAATAAATAAAAAACGTTGAAAAAAATTTAATAAAAACTAAAACAAAACCAAGCAAGAGCACCTTTGCCCCTAGAGTGCCAAACATTGAATCCCACGGAGGCCTCCCTGCAAAAGGACCCAAATGGAGCTCTGGGGTCAAAGGGTGTGTATTTGGGGGTGTATAGGAGGTTCTCCATCTCACAAGTGCTGCAGGGACTGTGGGCCCCACCACAGCTGCTGATTGTCTCCCTTCCCATTTCTCTCTCCCGCTACAATGCTTACTTGGAAATCTACGGGGGAAATCCTCTGACAAGCTCTCGGGTTGGGCTCTCATTAGAGAAAATTACATAATGAGTGGCAAGGAGGGAATGGTTCCCTCCTCACAAGCTTAATCCCCACATCCCCAGGATAGATCAGTGCCCAAGACCTCTAGGGCTGAAGTGGGCAACAGGTGCAAGGGCAGAGGGGTGAGCCCAGGCAGGGCGGGCCAGGATTGGGGGTGAGGGACAGGGGACCAGAGCAGCCTCCTTCCTTCGCTCTAGGTTCCACTTGGCTGGAGGCTCCTGGATCTCGCTGGGTAACTGAGTGGATTGGTGGTTCAAGGCCAGACACACCCAGGCGCCCCCTCTACTTGGCCACCGTGAGCACACCCTTGGATCACGCCCCGCACCGCCAGCCACCCTCGGAGTTGGGGTGCAGTTCCTAGCCCTGGCTTCCTGCCCTGAGAGCCAGATTGACAGGCCTCGGCTTCCTTCCATCTGCGCACCATCCATAATAAAACTAAAGTTTTCGCTGTGCTTTCTTTCACCACATCACATGCTTCAATCTTCTGTTAACTCTGCGAGTTCTTTCTTACTAAGCTTGTTTGACAGAAGACAAAACCGAGGCTCAGCGAAGAACCTTGTTCAAACCCACACAGCTCCTGGGAGCAGAGTTTTTCTCCCAACACAACTTTACTTTGTCCCTTAGTGGAGCCAGGATCCCTGTAACTTGGCAGCATGATCTAGATGGGTGGGATGTTTATAGGGACCACCTAAGGAAAAAAGTATGATTGAGGTTTGTGCAAGAAAAGGTCCAGCTCCTTCTTCTGGAGTACAGGTTCCCCTTTCAGCCCCTTGGACTTCCAGAGTTTTGTTCTTCTGGCCCCACAGGGCAGAAGCACTTTGCCCTCCCTCCCAGCACCCAGACCCCCTTACAGCTGACTGTGCTAGCACTCTCTGTCCACCTGCTCCTGGACAGTGAATGCTGGCACAGTAAGAATATTGAATGATTTTGGACCCAGTCACCCTCATTTTTCTCCCTTCTGCCTGCTACAAAGACCTCTGATCCAGAAATGAGACATCCCCAGAGAAAACAGGTTTTTGCTGATCTCTGGCCCCAAGGGTGGGTCTCCTTTTCTTTTGACACATTTGATCCCCTTGTTCTCTCTCTCTCCCTGTTCCTACCCCCCTAAATTGCCAGAAGCACCCCTCTCTGTAGAGGGAGGGCCAAAAGTTATGGCTTCCCCTGCTTAGCAGCAACTACAAAGCCCATAGCAATGGCCAAGTGAGACAAGAAAGTAAGCTGGGCATATTGTGGAGCAAGTGTTAGAATCCAAGAATCCAGCTGTTCAAGTCCCTGGCTCCCTACTACCACGGAACTCATCCCAGTTGATCTTCCTCCTCCCACAACCCTGGCCCTGGCAAGCTTTTAATTCTTCCTGAAACTTCATGCCCTAGTGAGACTCCAGGCATCAACTCATCCTATGTAGTCCATTTCTGCTGTAGAACCCACCATGCTAGATAACAACTTCCAATGTGGATTATTTCAAGATGAAGAGAGGAAAATTATCGCCTGCCTCCTGCATCCTAATGCAGCTTCTCTTTGGAATCCTGGGACCTGGTACACGAATTATCCATCAATCACAGAGGATATGGAAGCCACAGAAAGTCAGGAGACAAAGGTCTCTGTCCGAGGCACTCTGCTTGCATATTCTCATTCTTTTTCTGGAAGCAAAGATGATAAACTTCTTTTCTCCTATTTCTGTGAAAGTCAGTACTGACCCTAGCCCCCATTGACCACAATTGTGGCCCTCACCTTCACCTTGCAGCAAATCCACCTTTCTCCTCTCCCTCCAACCTTCAACTATAAGCAGGAACACAAATAGCAACTTTATTTTGATTTTTCCCTTAGAATCCTGGAGTGTAATAGCTGCTTGATAAATGTTTTGTATCTAACATGAAAATCCTAGTTTCTATATCATCCTTAATTCCTTATTAGAGTTAGCCTCCAAGTCTGAATAAAGCCAAGGGAAATGAAAATATCCCTACCAGAAATGCTGCCTAAATGTGAATCCTTGGTCAGCTCTCCCTGGATAGAGACACATGCAGAGGGACCACAGAAACCCCAGGGCAGTGGGAACTGTGGATGAAATTAGCCAGAGGAGAAGTAAAGTCTGGGCTCCTATGTTCCTAGCCATTTCACCTGACTTCTCTCTTAGACTCCTCCAGACTTTCAAGTTTCTCTTTTTAAGTATTAAAAACAATGCCAGATAACTCTTCATTTCCACTGTAGGATGGAATGCCTAAAAAGGGAGTAGCAGGGTAACTGTGGAGTTGACAGAAGTAGGCCTGGGTTGGATTAGCAAAAGGACTTTGGGTGGTGTTTTTCTTTTTCTTTTGATATTTATTTCTTGCATCCTCCATCTGCTCCCTCCCAATGACTGTCTCCTGGAGACAGCTGTCTTGCACATTCTGTTCTCTTTCTCCTTCTTGCCTCTCTGTGAACCCCTTTGATTTGAACCATTATTACTGCAGAGGACTTGCAGACTCATCATTAGCCTCTCTTTGCTCTGAAATCCAGTCCTGTATTTCCAGGCTTATTTTTCCCATAACATCTTCACTTGGATGTCACATCATATCAAACATGAGGCTCATGTATTCGTCCAGCAAACATTTTTGGAGCATTTCCTCCGTGCTAGATCTGAAGATAACATCAGTGAATAAAGCAAGCAACAGGTCCTGCCTTTAGGTAAAGATCTCACAATCCACCAGGAAAGGCAGCTATCACACAAGGAATGACACACAAATATTTATAACTCTTTTAAGTATGCAAAAATACCGGCAAGCACCACCTCATCTTCCCACTATCAGGTCTTCATAGTTTCCCTCATTGGCATTCATTCTCTTCCTCCCTGCTCCCCCTTTACATTGGAGGAGTGTCTCTCCAACCTGGGTTCTGGTTCCCATCCCACACTTCCTGCCTCTCAGTAGACTTCTCCTCCCCCTCCCACACTGTCTACTTCTCTTTCTCTGGGGTCCGTCCATCAGCATCCAAACAAGCTCTAGAAAAGTGTACACAAGAATCACCTGGAAGAGATTCTACTTGTTTACTTATTTATTTATTAAAAACCATTTATTTATAATTGAGGTATAGTTAATATACAATATTATATTAGTTTCAGGTGTGCAACAGGATGATTGGATATTTGTATGTATTGTGACATGGTCACCACGATAAGTCTAGTTAACATCCATCACCACATATAGTTACAATTTGTGTGTATGTGTGTGTTGAGAACTTTTAATATCTATGCTCTTTGCAACTTTGAAATATGTGATAGAGTATTATTAACTATAGTCACCATACTGTACATTACACCCCCAGGACTTATATTTAAAAAATTTTTTTTTAACATTTCTTTTTTTTTTTTTATATGAAATTTATTGTCAAATTGGTTTCCATACAACACCCAGTGCTCATCCCAAAAGGTGCCCTCCTC